AAATACATACTTATAAAAAATTTGCTTATATATATATATTTTTTTGCATGGAATATACCATTCGTCTGTATTTATTTTAGCGCAATAATATGTATATACTCACTTAGAGGTTATATTGCTTTGTTATGTATAAAGACTAGAAGGAATTAGATCAATTGTATCTTGTAGAGGTAGAATTTCAAATGATTTAAAAAACATTTTCTGTCCATGCTTTTGTATTTTCTCAATTTTTGGAGTGATTATATATTTTGTGACATATTTCAATATTATTTCTCTAAAAATCTATACAACTTTTTTTTCTTCATGGACAGAGTTTTTCAGCTTATATCTTTAATGGATACAGGATTGCCTCGGTGTTCTAATGAGAAAATAGAACTCGCAATTCTCTGGTTCTTGGATCAGTTTCGCAAAACATACGTTGGTGACCAACTTCAAAGAACCTCAAAGGTAGGTTTTTACTATTAGAAAGTTTTGAACCTGCTGTTGGAGATGAAGATAGGTAGGAACAGAGTGATACATTTGTGAATTTCTACAGAAGAAATAGAATGGATTGGTGGACTTCATTTAATGAATTGGTATTGAAATCATGCAAAAATAATTTTCTTGTTTTATGCAAGATTTATCCTTTTCTCTGAAGGAGTAGTAAGTATTTTTATTTTTATGTGGATGGTCATTAAATACTTGAAATTATTTTAAACACTTTGTTAGATACTGCATTTTGTATTTCAAGATTAGAAATGAGATTTGTTCTTTTAGTAGTTATGGGATGTTTGGACATTGACTTATGTGGTGTCCAGTATATTACAGTCATGATGGCTCACAGGGCGTTTTTACATGATATAAATGTGGACTAAGAGAATTCAGACATACAGTTGATAGGCAGTTAAATCACCTTAATGTAGGAAATACTTGTAATAAGATAATTGAAAGGTTAGCATCAACAAGTTTAAATTAATTGATATTGAAGCATAATGAAAGATTATTGAGGTGTCCGTGAACCCTAGGGGAATGCTTGGTAGTATAGTTGGCCTTCTGTAGTCACAGAATCTGTATACATGGATTCAACCAAGTGTAGATTGAGAATACTGAAAAAAGAAAATAGTATTTCCTAAAAAACACAATGAAACAACTGTTTATATAGTACTTGTTCTAAATATTCTAAGTAATCTAGGGGTGATTTACAGTATAAGATGTGTGTCGGTTACATACAAATAGTACAGAATGTTATTTGGCAGTATATAAAAATTGGTTTTTAAAATTATCCTTTATGGAGTTTGGCATATAATATGGTTGTGAAGCACTTGCTTAGCATTCACAAGGCCTTAGGTTCAGTCCACAGTACTAAGCAGTTTGTGTGTGTGTGTGTGTGTGTGTGTGTGTGTGTGTGTGTGAGAGAGAGAGAGAGAGAGAGAGAGAGAGAGAGAGAGAGAGAGAGAGAGTTAGTAAGATTATCCTTTAAGATAAATTTTTTCAGGTAGAATTTTCTTTACCTTTTAAGGAATTGATACAACTTAATAGTTTCTTACTTGAATGTATTATGACATGTCATTTCCATTTAGGATTTATATTAAGAAATTTTACTTAGAATTTAGCTACCATCAAATGACATCATTAAGTAGGAAAAAGAATAGCTAGGAATAACCGTTTAAAATTGTTACTAATAACAAAATATTTCCAGGATGCTCCTTTTTAACCTTAGATGTACTGCTTGAAGATCAAATGTAAAACATTATTATAATTTTCTTAATGTCTCTGAAGAAATGTTTTATTTTGCTTTTGGAACAGTAAATACTCATTAATCTCATGTTTATTTGGCTTACATCCTGAGTCAGAACAGTGTAATAGGAGTGGAAAAGCTTTCTAATTATTGTCTTTACAGTTCTCCAGACAGTTAGTTACTCATGTGAACTCAAAGCAATGGTGACAGCATGCACAAGTCCTGTGCAAGCTCCAATGGATAAACCCAAACTAGAGATCATTTGGGGATTAAAGTTAGACTCTATAGATTTTATTATACAGAGAGAATACACTGAATTGAGTTGGGGGGGCGCGATGTGGGGAGGTGTAGATGGGAGAGGGGATATAAATGTCATCAAATTATATTGTGTGGAAATCACAAAAATTCAGTAAAAATGCTTTAAAAAAGTGCTTGGGGAAAAATATAAAATGATCTAGTTGTTTTAGAGCAGTGGGATTGGTTTGTAATAAACTAACTTAATGTAAGGTGCTTGTGAAGAAAAATGAATAGTAGGGTAATTTTGCTTATATATTAGGAGAAGAGCTACATATCATTGGGCTGGCATTCTTTTATTTTAACTAATATTTTTGTGCCTCAACCTTATTCTGTCATCTGAAATATTTAGTCCTAAAATGCCTTTATTTCTAAGGCATTTGTGCTAGTTTGTTTTCATCACTGTGGCATAATACCTGAGGAGCACAAAGAAGACATATTTTGGCTCATAGTTTCAGAGGCTTCAGTGGCCATCTTTATGGGTCTGTGGTAAGGCAGAACATTTTGACAACAGGAGGGCATAGTAGGCAGGGCGTGACCTACGGCACACAGGAAGAGTCCACAACAAGCTGTTTGTTTCGGAGCATTCCCCTACATGCATCCTAATTCTTTCAACCAAGCCTTAGGCCAATAGTGTGTTCAGTTATGAATTCATCAGTATGAATCCATTGTAAAGTTAGAAGCACTCATGATCCATCACCTCAAAAGCTTATCAGTTGTCTACCAGTCCCCTAATGCATGAGATTTAGGACATTTTTAGGTTCAAATCATAACATCCTCTTGCATAACATTAAAGTTGGCTAGACCTAACTACTTTACAATTTCTCTAGCTTTTCTAAAGGTCTGTCTTAGTAGTAACAATATTTGGCATGTTCTTAGTATATGACTGTCAGTCTTCTCAGAACTGTTTATACTCTTTATTCTTAGAGCAGGAAGGATGGGATTGTTCTCATCTTTCCTAATGAAAGAACAGAGTCTAAAACATTTAATAATTTAATTTAATAAGTGCTACATACCCATTTCCATGGGTTCTGTAAGTATGGATTCATCTAATAGATCAGAAATATTCAGAACAGGGTTGAGGAGATGCTCAGTGGGTAAAGTGCTTGCTAAGCAAGCATGAGAATCTGATTTCAGATCCCTAGAACTCACACAAAAATCAAGCATGGTGGACTGGGACTGAGGTGTTGGTTGAGACAGGTGGATCATGGGAGCTTGCTGGCCAGCTGGTCTAGTCAACAGGTCAAGTTCCAGATTCAGTGAGAGACCATGTCTCAAGAGTAAGACATACGGTGATGAAGATCCCAGATGTCAACCTCTGATCACATCATCAGGCACAGATGAATATGATATGCACATACACCAAAAAATAAGAAGAAAATGTTGATTTTCAGAAAATTGCATTTGTACCAAAAATACAGAAAATTCAGTTTCTTGTTAATAGGCCCTAAGCAATAAAGTTTAACAGCCATTTACATAGCACTTACATTGTAATTATAAGTAATCTAGGAAAGAGAGCATATGTGTAGTTTATATGCAGATACTGTGTCCTTTTATATAAAGAGACTTGAGCTCTTATAGATGATATTATGAATATTCAGGGCACCACAGATTCCTAAGGATGACTATACTTTTTTTTTTTCTGGCAACTAACTAAGGAGGGCTAGGTGGACACTACTTCTTTGTGAGTATATTATCTGAGTACAATTTGTGGCCCACAAGTTGATGGTATTGGATGATAGTAAGTGAATATTTAATACTATTTAATAATTAAAACACACTTATTTTGTTCCAGGAACTAGGCTAACCACTTTTAAGCATTACCCATTTAATTGTATCATATAGAATATGATTATATCGTTCTTCCCAATCTCTGCATATTTTGTCAACTTCTTGCTTTAATGTCCCATATTTCTACTGTAAACATTATGCACACTTATCAGTCTGTGCTATCAATTCTGGCTATTAAAATAAATACTTACCTTAGTCTTAAGATCCCCTCCTTAATACCCAAATTATAATTGAGTTTGTGTATATCCCCTTGTTTTAGAATGCATGCTGTACTTGTAATTGTTAGGAAAATATGGACATCAGTTTTGGTTAGTGTTATTTCTGCCTTGATCATTGTTATCACACCAAGTTTCTGGCATAGGGCATATATGCTTTCTGCTAACTCAAGAGTATGCATTTTGTGAAGTTATATAGAAGTTGGCTTACATCTCATGTTCAGTACTTTCACATTATAATCTTGATCTTGGAAAATGATGCTGACTTGAGTGAAACTCTTCAGCAATTTTAGGTAAGGTATGATTTTAAGGATCCTCACAAATGTTTTAAATTGTGTGTCTGTGTCTGTGTGTGTCTCTGTGTGTGTGTGCATATTTGTTCAGGTGCCTACAGAAGTCAGAGGTATCAGAACCCCCTGCCCCCAAACTGGAGTTATAGGTGGCTTTGAGCTGCCTGATGTGTCAGGTGTAACATCAGGGAACCAAACTCGGGTCCTCTGAAAGAGCAGCTAGCACTGTTAACCACTGAGTCATCTCTTCATCCAAATCTTGACAATTTCACAAAAACTTATATACATAATGGATTATAAAATATATAAGTAAGCACTTCTGATACCAGGGTGGAATCACCAAATAGTCCTAAGTGATTTATGTGATAGAACGTGTGTCCTATTAATGAGAAAGAAGCATTGTAATTAGTGCCTGTTTGATTCTTTGTTCAGAACTTGACAAGCATTATCTAATTGGTTCTAATGAAACCACTAAGGAAGTACAATTTTGGCAGCATGTTCCATTTTATAGACATGGAAACTGAGGCTTTGAGTGTATAATTAATGTGTTTTAGTAGTTGGATATGCATTTGAAACTTGGATGCCTTATCCAAAGCCTTTCCACTGGGATATTGAATAGGCTCTTCCATAGAGGAGCTCTGTTGAATAGAACACTCTTTCTACTTATCCTGTTTTCAGGAAATTATATTGAACCCAGAATGTTTCCATTGTGCTTCTTGTATCTGATCTGCCTCCTAATCTGCTCATTTTTTTTTTCTAGCTATCTTAACTCCACCCTTTCTTTGTCCCTTCGTTATAATTGCTTCTCATCATTTCAGATTTTGGTTGGTTGGTTGGTTGGTTGGTTGGCTGGTTGGTTCGTTTGGTTTTTGAGACAGGGTTTCCCTGTAGCTAGAGCTGACCTGGAACTCACTATGTAGGGTCACCTGCCCAAGTGCTGGGATTAAAGGCTGCGTCAACACGCCCAGTGCAAAAGTATTTTTGGCCCCCTTCTTGATCCATTTCATCCTCTCTGCTGCACTCCATTATCCACATTGCTACTGTGGTAATCTTCATTAGAGAATGAGAGAACTATGCAGTGCACTCCCCCATGCTTGTTATCCAGCTTTCTCAGTCTTAGTGCTTTGCTTTCTCTGCTTCACATTTGTGTATTTTTAGATAAAACATTTATCACCCTGTTGTTGGCTCATTTTATAAAATTTTTCTCTAAAGCAACAACTGTCATAAACTTGGTGTTATTGTCATCATGATTTTGTTCCTTGTCCACATTTCTATGTATTTGTACACAAAATACAATGCTGTTAATTTTGTATGGAAGTAATTTGCCATTTGGATCCTCAGTGACTTGTCTTGGATCAGTGCTGTTTCTGAGATTTATCTATGACAATACAGATAGATTTCGATGATTGAATGGTAGTACAATGTCTTTCTGTGCCATTATATACTCACTTTCTCCTCTGTTGGTAAGTTAGATTCTTTCCATTTTTTTCAATTCTGTAAAACATTCTACAATAATCAATTACAATCCCTATCTCTTCTTGTATATGTAAAACTTTTATCAAAAAATACCAGAAGTAGAATTGCTGGACTGTAGCATGTCCATGTCTTTAGCTTTACTAGATGGTACAGTTGTCTTCATAAGTCTTAACAATTTATTCTCCTTCTCCTAGTAGGTAAGGTATGTTTTTCTGTCCTCTTGCAGGCATCACATTCTCGGGTTTGGGAAACACATTCTTTCTTAAATGCTTAAAATTCTTCAGTGGTTTCCATTATTTATGAAGTAAATTTGTCCTGTCAAACTTGATCCACTTTTGCAACTTCTCTTTTTTAAAAAAATTTTTAATAACTGCATGATTAGAAGCATTTCATTACAGCTTTAACATATTCAGTAACACACTCCAGAGCAAGAGTACATCTCTTTCACAAGTGGCTATAAGTTTCTAGGTTCACAGTTGAATTAAAACAGTTATATAATGTTGAACTCAGTATAAGCCTTGTAAGACATAAAATTGAATGAATTTTTAACCTTTAAAAAACATCCCCATTTCATTTTAGAATATATTGTTCCTTGCAGAAAGACTCATTGTTTTACCTACCAACACTGAGATATTGGCGCATGCATCTCTAATCTGTATGTATGTGATTATTACTAGTCATAATTGATTGCACTTATCCTTGGCGCCTGGGTATGTCTATAAAGACATCGGGTAGATTTCAATGGTAATGTTTATCACCTTTACTAATTAACATGATGTAATTTCCATGCTTCTTCCTCAAATATAATACATTTTTAAAAATTTTGTTGATTTGTGTGTGTGTGTGTGTGTGTATCACACAGAACATCTCAAACCAACTTATTCATCTATGCACCTACTTCTAAGATGGCACCCTCCCATAGCCTCCCTCCCCCAACTAGAGCCCTTATACTCTGATTGTTGGCACCCCCAGCCATTCCCCACTACTTGTCCATCTGGTGAATCCAGTCAGCCTATCTCGAGGTCTTTGTTTTAGCAGGGTCAGCTGTTCCTCATCTAGCAGCAATCAGTTGTCAATATTCCTTTAGATAGATTGGGTTCTGCTGTTCATTTTCCCAGTTCTATGCTGGGTTACTACCTAAGAATCCCTTGGGCCACCCTGGCCAGCAACTCAAAAGAAGGTATCTCCTATCTGGCATTGTTGCTTGTTATGTAGGCTTTAGCTATGCATATGGACTCTAAGAAATTATATTGGCCCCTTTAATCTTTGCTTATACTTTTGTTTTGGGTGTTTAAGGCCATACAGTTGGCCCAGATAAACCGATTTATTTTTACTCTTAAGGTGGTTTGAGGATCTGTTCCTCAGGGGTCACATGGGCTTGGGAGGAGCCCCTGGTTCCTTTCTTCTACCAGTTCTGCCTATGTGAAGATAAAGGTCCTGCTCGACCATGGCTGGCTTTGCTTGAAATCATGGAGGAAATGATTCCTCTGTGTTGACCTTCCTCTTTGTAGACTGGACACTGGTTGAAGTCCATCTCATGGAGTCTCCTCGGCCTCCTTGATCAAGAGGGTAGGTGACCCACCACAATTACAGGACATTTTGAGAGATGCTCATAGTTCCCTGGAACTGGTCGACCTAGGAGGGCAAGGAGCAAAAACTGTCCTTTATGTCCCTCTGACCAAATTAGTATAGGCAAAGTATGTCTGTTAAACATCCAAGAAGGTTAGTTCCACCAATCTGGTACTTTTTTTTTTTTTTTTTTTCTTGGGCAAAGACCAATTGTTCTCAGATAAACCTTACCTAGACATATATTTCTTGATCTGCTATGTATAATTTGTCAGTACGTTGTTGGAGTAATAGGGTTCCCTCTGGTTTTTAAAACTAGCTAGGCATTATTTATCTCTCACATTGTTTCACCCCTCCATCATGGTTTCCCCAATTAGCAGCTTTTCTTTGGATACCTTATCCTACTTTATGATGTGATTTCTGCTATAAATGTTGGTACCTCTTTTTCTCTCCTGTTTTTACTCAAGTTTAAGTGCCTGTTAATAAGTATGTACTAGTAGTATTATGACCAAGATTATGAAGGCAATTAGAAAGGCATATGTCTTCTGTAAGTTTTGTTGTTGTTGTTGTTGTTGTTGTTTTGGGCGGTGGTGGTGGTGATGGTGTGTGTGTGTGTGTGTGTGTGTGTGTGTGTGTGAAGTTGTTGTGCATGCATGTCCATATG